GATACCATGCAAAAGTTATTTCAACTGTATACAGAGTGAACATGAACTTGCTCACAAAACCCTTGGCTAAAGGAATTTGAGGGCCCAAGGAAGGGAAGTGAAAAGAGAACACAGCCCACCTGATGCTACAATGCTGATTATACACATAATAGTGCTCAATCCCACCAGAGGACACAGGCTCAAAATTTAGAACTGCAAACATATATAGATAAATGTACGGATACCAGATGCATAATGAAGTACCAAGGGAAACCAGGTTGACCTAGTTTTGAAATATGAAAACAGGAAAACAGGCCTCCCCCGTACCCCGTTAGGCCTCCTGCCCAAGCCAGAATCCAGGACAGACTCAGAGCCTGAGCTCTTCTCACTGGCTAAGACAGTAATTTTAATTATACCCTGAAAAGGGAAATGAACCTTCAAGATGGGGAGTGGGAAGGGCCAGGTGCCTAAGATCTAGGTGAAGCCATGGATGACCATGGGCAGGGAAGCAGCACCTTGTGAAGGATTTTATGGTAATTTGTGCAGGCTTGTCTTATCTCTGTTTCTAGAGGGCTAGAGCTGCATCTCATACTTCTGACACCTCCAAAAATGTACAGAGTCCTTCCTACCTGCCCCAGAAGCCCAGACATTTGCCAAATGAACGAACATGCCAACAGCCAATGCAGTCTACTCTGACTATGTAATATGGCCCTGAGGTCCCAGTGTTAGAGGAAGTGAAAAAAGGACAAAGGAGTCCACTGGTAAACAGAGGTGGGGTATCCATGAGATAGCGACACAGGGAAACAGGAAAGAGAACTGAAGAGGAAACCTGATCCAATACTTGAAGGGCTGTCACATAGGAAAGAAATAAGGCCTGTTCTTTCCAAAGCTCCAGAAGTAAACTGTCAGCTGAATTTAAGGAAGAACTTCCTCGTAGCACAGTATTTGTCAGGCTGTGTTTCATGTAATGCCAGCATTCAGGATGTGAAGATGGAGGAGGGAAAAGATCCCAAATGATTTTGTTGGAAAATACATGTGGGAATTTGTATTAAACAAAGGTAACAGATGTTCTTACTGAAGAGCATAGCTTTCACCCTGCTCGAATTTACGTGGCCCCAAATAGTTTTCATAGGATGCCATGTACATCTCCCAGAGTCTCTATGTTTCAAGTTCTTCTCTGGGGGAAAAAATGAATTAGAGCTCTCAGGCGAAACTATCTTTTAAAGGGATGAGTGTCAAACTAGCATTTGAGTACTTTTAGGATATATAATTCAACAATGCATAGATGATATAAATGCAATATGAATACAAAACTAGAACCATGGGTTCATTCTCCTACAGACTTTCATCTTGAATAACCAAGGTCATAGGCAAAAATGTACAATGTAGATATTGTAAAGGGATCCTGGAATTAATCAGTGCTGTTGCTGGGGAGCTGAGTGACAAGATGAGCTCTTACCAGAGCCCAATTTAACTCTTCTTACATAGTATTTTCTAGAAAATATTGCCTACCTGCCTTCCTTCCTCTAATGTATATGTTCATTCTGTAATCAATCTCACCCTCCATAGACCAGCAGTAGTAAATGAAACCACAAAAGGTGCTGCTTCATGGCTGTCTATGGGGAATTCAGACAATAAACAAGCACATAGCATAAATAATGATTTAATTAGGTATTTCATATATGTTACAAAGGAAATGAATGGTGCAAGAAAACAACAGTAAGTTACATGGATTCCTTTTCCAGTGTGGGATTTTAGCAGGGGTTCTTCAAGGGAACACAGGGACCATATTTTATATATCCTCAATATAGAAGTCCAAAAGAAGTCTATGTGACAGTCCTCTGTGAAATCATAGCCTGATGGGGTTGGAAAAGGCCACACAGCCCCTCCCCCCTCACAGTAGTGTCTTCTCTAGCACAGTATTATATGGATCCTCTATTTGAGACTACGACTCATTAGGTCTGGGAAGGGCTGAAGAATCTGCATTTCTAACCAGGTGATTCTAATGCTGCTGCTCTGCAGACCATATTTAAACATCGCTACTCCCTCGGGCATTTTAAAAGACCTAAATAAGTGTAGAGCTATGGCATGTTTATGGACAAAGAGGCTCAAGAATAAAGATGTCAGTATTCCTCAAATTAAACTGTAAGCTCAATACACTCCCAAATAAAATTCCCAGAGTTGTTTTGTTTTTATTGTTGTTTTTTTAACTTGACAAGCTGATTCTAAAATGTATTTGGAAAATTAAAACAATTTTGAAAACAACAAAGTGGGGGACGTGCCTTGCCAGCTCAAGGCTTACAATAAAACTATAGGTATAATATCAACACACAATTAGCAAAAGAGACCAATGAAACAGAACAGAGAACCCCGAAACAGACCTGTGCTTTCAGGAAAATATATGAAAGATGGCACTACCAATCAGTACTGAAAGGATGAATAATCCAGTAAATACTGCTGGGGAAATTGATTGTTTATATTTAAAAAACTGGATTCCTACCTTAGGCAAAAATAAAATTCCAGGTAGATATTGTTCATAAATGTGAAAGAAAACTATAAGTCTCTTAGAAGAAAACAGAAAATTTTTTACAACTTTGGGGTAAGGAAATAGATCATAAGTAAGACACCAACTGTAAAAAACAAAAAGATTGACAAATTTGACTTCAATAAATTTGAAGTTCCTATATGCCATAAATACATAAATAAGAAAAGCCATACACTATGAAAAGATATTTGCAGCACAGATACTAATATCTATAATGTATTGGGTTGGCCAAAAAGCCTATATGGCTTTTTCCATAAAATAAACACATTTTTTTTCATTTTCACCAATAACTTTATTGATTTGGATATTTTAACTATATCAGCTATCTCCTGTGTGGTATAACACTGATTGTTTTCAATTAATGTCTTCATTTGACCGCTATCAACCTGAACTCATCTACCCTACCGTGGAGCATTATTCGGTGAGAAATCTCTAGCAGGAAACTTCACAAAACGGTTTTGACACTTTGAATCCCTACATTGCACAAATCTTTTTTTTTGCATTTCAGTTGCATTTTTACCTTTTTTGAAATAATAAAGCATGATATGCCAAAAGTGTGGCATATTTTCTTTCATCTTCAATATTAAAATGGCTACATAAAAATTCACCAATTTTGATACATTTTAAAAAAATACACACTGATATAACAGCTGTCACAAAACTGTTTTGAATGAAGTTAAAGACAACTAAGTGCTACTAGAGCCATCTTACAGGAAAAAAAATGAATGAACTTTTTGGCCAATGCAATATCAAGATTTCCAACCTATGAGAAAAGACAAATTATTTGAAGAGAAAAGTATATGAGTAAGAAGTTCACAGATGAGGAAACCCAAATAGAAAATAAAAAATGAATAGATGCTCGACCTCCCAAGCAAATAGAAGAATGCATATTTAGAATAGTAGGATATCATTTCATACATACCCATTACACTGCAAAACTTAAAAAACTCTGACCAGACCAAATACAGTCTAGTGTGCAGAGCAGTAGAAATTCTCACACTTTTTTTTCTTGTTTGGAGAAAAAATTAGAGTAGTCTTTTTGGAAAGCTATTTGACATTATCTGCAAAAAATGACAATGCATGCACCCTATGACCCAGCAATTCCACTGTTACTTATACGGCCTAGAAACTTTCACACATGCACACAGAGAAGCACAGACAAGACATTCACTCAGTGTGCTTAATAGTGGGAAACGGGATGTAATGCCTACCCAGAGAAGCTCGGCTAAATACAATGTAGTCTATTTATACATTGAAATACTATACAACAGGGGGGGGAAATGAATGAACCAAAGCTACATGTATCAATAGAGATACATCTTAAATCAACAGTAAGTGAAGAAATAACACTATAAAAAATGTAAGTAATGGGTACCATTAATATAAAACTTTAAAACATGCAAGAAAGACCAAGGTATTATTTGGGATTTATCTATACATATACCATAAACACGAGAATGATAAATGTAAATTCAGCATAATGACTTTTAGAGAGGCAAGGAAAATAAAAACCACTAATAAAACCACTGCCCCTCTACGTTACTATTAATCAGCAGTAGGGTAGGGAGGGTCTTCAACGAACCAGACTTTTTCAGATGAAAAAGCCTCAGAAAGCATTTAGCCAGCCTTTGACCTCCTTGGGAAAGGGATCCTTCTACCACTACTATAGACACTCCTAAGTCAGGCCCATCGTGTATAGTTATGCAGGTTGACACTGCACAAACTTTGGAGCACACATTTCACAGTGTTAATGACATCTCCCTAGGGTTGTGCAGTGAACAAGTAACACAACCATATGTGGCAGCCCTGTAAGTCCCAGGTTATAAACCCCTTTGGAATGCTGATGAAAAATGCCCATCTCCTAGAAAATGCCAACCTCCCCAGTTACTGGCTCTAATGTCTGTGGATTCAGACACTTCCCCAACAATGATCAGCAGTAGCCTTACACTGGTCTAACACTTCTGGAGATGAGTGCTCACAACATTCAGAAGTACTTACAGACAATGCTATGAGACTATGATTTCCTTTAAGCACATTTGCAACCTGCCTCTCAATAACCTCTTATCTATTAAAGTTCATCTACTTCAACTACTGAAAGTTAACCTGTCCCCCCGGAGACTTCTGCTTTCCAGACTAAATATATTCTTGACTTAGCTTTTTGTAAACATCTTTTCTTTTGTTAAAAATGAATTTTTAAACCGCCCATCATTTTACCAAGCACTTCTTGCCCTAATAAGCAGCTAGGCATGCTGACATATCATCAAAGAACAAGAAAGCAATCTCTCTCAGCTGTCCCTTTGGCAAACCTCTACAGAGCTTCCCTCTGGCTTCGAACACTGTCAAATGCCCACAGAACCCAGCAAGTGCAAGACTGGAAGAAGAGTTAGGCTTTTTCCACAGGCAAAGACAATATTAACTGAGCAGAACCAGGGAGGAGCCCCCACAGACAAAGGGAGATAAGTCATATTCCACTTACTCCCAAAACTCCATGACAGGAGAGGTGGCGTTCTGCAGAGACACATGGCTGTGGTTGCTCACGTTCAGTTTCTGGAACTCCACACATTTATCTACAGTGGAAACAAGACAACAAATGCAAGATTAACTTCTGCAAAGGCCAGATCCTGGAAAACATTCAAAGCTGATGGAGCAACCAGGCAGTTTCACCTCAACATTCTACATAAACATGCCTCGAAGAACACTGGGTGTAAAATCAATAACTTGCAAACAGTTTGAGAGGCTTGGTCTGATTCAGAACAAAGGAAAACTTTTGGGGCAGGGTACTTTTTCTATCTCATTCTCACTCAATATGCCCTATCAAACTCTTTCTTCCTGCTTTGTTCTCAAATCTCCTTTCCTTTTTTCCACTTCCCTGTCGAAAGTTTGCCCATACACTTGTTATGCTCAGTGGTCCTTGCAGTAATGGGGAGGTGGGGATAAATACGTGATTGGATGAAATGACAGCCTGCATTTGCAAAGAATCCCTAGTTTTTTGTTTTTTGCTTTGTAATTCTCTCCCTCAGTCAATCAATCCAAGAATTTACTGCGTGTCTCTTCCCATTTCAGGAAACTTGATGACCAAGGGAGATTTGAAGCTCAAGTAAAAACATCCAAGTGTTCATCCTTTATGGCCCAAATCAACTGGTATACCCCTTCTCCCTGATCTCCCTAACTTGAATTCTAAGAAAGAATTTAAAGAACTTCCAAAAGACCGCTTTTTCCAATTTCCTTTACTTTGAAGAGGAGGAATCTAAGGTTCATAAGTTTTCAAAGGACCCCCACCCATATCCTCTCCCTCTTCTACAAGTCACCAGCCAGTTAGGGGCAGAAATGGGAATCAACCCAAGCTAAGGCTCTATCTCCTTTCCCATGGTCATTGTCCAGTTGTCTGCCACCATGAGACCCATGCCTCTTTATAGCACCTCCCTGTTTACAGAGCTATCCTGGCCACCACACACTAAGCTCCCCAAGGGCAGGGCCTCCTGCACCCACTCACTTCAGAGTCCCCGTGCCCTGCACAGTGGCCAGCATGGAAACAGTATTCAGCCTCTCCATGGCACATGCAGTTAGTACAAACCCTCCAAACTACATCTGCAGTCTCCAGGGGGCAGAAAACACCTCCTATATGTGTTGTTTCACAAATCTCCAGTGTTCGCATACCTTTAGGAAAGTGCAAACCAGAGGAGGAAAAGGTTTGCAGTCCACCGGAGAAAATTCTCCCAGTTGTCTGCCTGCTTCCCACTCTGTTTGGCAAGTGCTAACCATATTCTGAATGGAGGTGATCTGTAGGGTCCACAGAGTCCTGAGAGGAGTCTGGAAACTTGATATAATAGGAAAAAGGTACGGAAGTGCCCTGTGCCTTTTTCTGGAGAGAGGAGCCTTTGGCTTTTATCACGTTCTCTAAAATTATGTTTCTCAAAGTTTTTTTTTTCCCCTAGAGTAAAAAGTTTCTCAGACACCCAAGTTTGACAAGGTATTTTTATTAATATGATCATTAAACATGTACAAATAAAAAATTAGTTGTAAAGCCTTTGACTTATAGTATTCATACAACTATAAAACTGGAATTAAATTTACCAATTAAATACCAACTAAACTACAGACACAATACAATTCAAGCTGATAGCACAAAGTGGGTGTGTAAGATAATGTCATTTTGTAAATTAAATGGATTTCAACAGAAAAATGGACTGACAGGTAGAAGGCAGAGTCTATTGGGTTTGGCTTGCCTGTTCTTTAATATGCTATTTGAAACTTTAACACAACTTTTTTTCTGTTCACACTTTTGCAAAACCTTTATTCCTACTGTAACTTCACTTAGTACTAATGTACCATTTATGAATAAAATCTCTCTGCTTTTTCCCTTGCCTGTCATCATCCTATTTACCAAGAACACATCTTCGACTGTAAATATACACAAATCAAGTACTAAGATGACTGTTCTCAGTTATAAGATGGTTGTGCAGATGATCCAGAACATGTGCATATTTTTAAGGTATTGTCAAAATAAATATACACAATAAAATTATCATGGAGAGCTCACAGGCCTCCAAGAATAAGCCCTTCAATTTTAGTTTGATAAGCATCTGTAGGAGTTCTCTGGCCAAAGAAAGGTTATGAACCAGTGCCCTAAAAAAAAAAAAAAAAAAAGAACTACTACCCTTCACAACAGCATGGATAGAACTAGAGAGTATAGTGAAGTGAAATAAGCCAGGGGGCGAAAGACAAATACCATATGATCTCACCTATAAGCGGAATGTAACCAACAAAACAAAGATGTGAGGAAAATAAGACCAGCAACACTGAAAAAAAAAGAAAAAAGAAAAGAAACCAACAGAGACAAGAGGGAAGGAGGGAGGGGTGGGCGGAGAAAAGAAAGGGAAGGGACAAGCCAAGGAACATATAGCAAGGACTCATGGACAAACCCAAAGTGGGGAAGGATTGAGGGAGGGAGGGGGGAAAGGGGGTAGGGAAAAGTTGTAGGGGGAAGGCGGAGACAAATGTATTTGAAAAAATAAATTAAAAAAATAAAAAATAATAAACAAAAAAAAGAAAGGGTCTTATTGAACATTGTAACAGGTAGAATTATTATTTGTCAAGTGACTAAATTTGACAAATATTACCGTAGACTTACTATGTGTAAGGAGTCCATGTTATGTGTTAGGAGTCCATGCTACTAAAATTAATTTAGTTATGTTATCTAACTTGTTTTGATGTTGCAATAAAAAAATGCAATCCTATTTTTTCTCATATTTTAAAGAGACACAATAAAAATACTTTTCATAAAAAAAAAGAAAAAGAAAAAAAGAGACAGTGAAACCTCCACAAAATGCAATAGGCAAGAGAACAGAGCAAAGTTTCTACCTATGCATGGCTAGAAACTAGCATGGCTAGAAACTTGTTCATAGAACTTTCTAGGCCTAATGTCTGCTGTTCCTTCTGCTGGTGACCAACATATCACCCAATCTTATAGTAGCTCAGCCTTCAGGATGACAGGCCATTTTCAGGGACAACCTAACCACATGGATGATGAATAGCTTGAAGTATGTCTGCCAATTTCAGTCAAAAGGCAGTGGGTGCTGGAGCGCTGCTGAGAAGGGCTATGAGGCCAAGACTAGACTCAAAAGGAAAGAGTTCTGCAATCAATTAGTGATGTCTGCTCTAAGCACGGCAGCCATAGATAGTTGGTACATATTTGCTTTCTCTGCATTATACTCAGTTCTGATCAGATGACAAACTGAAAAGCAAATAGTATATTAGAATCTAAAGTAATCTAAAAAGTTATTCATTCAAGCAGTACAGTGGCGTGGTGAATTCAAATATCTACCTTGGTTGGACAGGTAAAGTAAATGAGCAGAGTGGACTGGGTGAGGACTGTGTGGCCGCTTCTCTGCCGCAGCCATTGCTGCCAAGCAAGAATGTGGGAACATGGGTCTGGTGTTGCCAAATACTTTCAATTTTTCAAGAGAAACTGGAAATCTGGTTTTTCATGTGAAGTTTTCTGTTTTTCAATTTGGGCAACTGAATATATTGTTGATATTTGCTGGTCACTGACCTAAAGCCTAATTAGCCTCCTGTTTGCAACCCCTGAGCCAATCTAACTCTTTCATTTATGAAGGAGAATCCAAATACCTCGAGAGACATGGCTGAAATTGGAGTCTGAACCCCTCATACTGCAACTGTTCCCCAAAAGACTCAGTCTCTATATTTGGCAAAGTGAGGAAAAAGCATCATCATCACCTACCCATATCAATTCCTGGACCAGGGCTCAGCTCAGTCTTCAGGGCTGCAACCCACAGAATGGACACATACCTAGTACAAAACTGACCTCCAGTTTCAGTGAAATGTGGGTTACATGGAGAAGCTAGAGGCCAGCATTGGCCTCTAGGACAAAGACACACTCTCAATTCCAGAGAAACCCTCTCTGGGGACCATACCTGTGTTCCACTCATGTCCACAGGTGGCCCAGGGGAGCTCAGTGGTGAAGCAGTTGCTCAGGTAGAAAATGGCCCACGCCAAGATGATAATGTAGTACACATTTAGATGGGCCTCGATCACCTGTGTTGCATAGCCAATGCCTGAAAGAACAAGGGAGCAATGCAAATATCTGTCCACCTTTATAAACAGCTTCAGCTACTCTCCATACCCTGACATCACCCAGGCATCATTTTATTTTCTGATTAACTCAATCTTACCTTCAAATAAAGGGCAAACTTTTCTCCAACATGTAATGCCACCTTCACTCGTGAATTGTCCCAGAGCTGTCTCCAGGAAAAAAACAGGAATTCCACAACAAATAAAAAACACCACATAGGGAATCAGGAATGCCCCTGCAAGAATGTAAAATAAGGAAATGAGGTTAAAATTGCCCCTCTCCATTTTATGTTCAGCACAAAATGATAAGTACCTAATACAGGCAAGACAAATGTTATCTAAGCTGGAGTTCAGGTTGCTGCAATAAGGACCAGAATCAGAAAATGTGGCCCTGGGTCTGTGCCCTCTGCTACCTACTACCATGAGTAATCAACCTCACATCCCCCTGCCTCAACTTCTTCTGTGTGGGGTTTTGCCTAATATCTGCACTGCTTGTCTCATAAAATTATTGTGTGGATAAGATGATAATGTAAAAGAAAGTATTTTATTTGCTTCTTTTATTTCTACAGTTCATCCTCTAGCACAGGTGAAATTCATTCCCTCTCTGAATGTTGCATCCTTCTTTTTTATTCAAAAGTAACTTCAAAAGGCTAGGTGAGGGGACGCCTTCTTATTTACTGTGGAAGTGATCTGCAAAATATATTTTTTCATAAAGAAAAACATTCTTAAGGAGGTCTGCAATGAACAATATCAGATCCCGATATCTGAGGCCCAGGCATGAAGTTGAGTTATAAGGAGTTTGCAGCAAGAATCTATGCAGAAAGCCTGGCTTTGGATCAACTTGAGAAAAGACCACCATAAGCCTTAGTATTCCTGTCTTGAAACACAATACCCACTGCCTGTGCCTTTTTTGTGAAACAAATTAAATAACTGAGGTGACCATGTGCTATTACAACCAGAAAGGGATTTTTCCAAATCCCTCATTCTCCTTCTATCTAATAACAAAGCATGAAAACACATGCCATTCTCCACTATCTGATCTCACAAGTGAAGGCTGTAGCTAAAATTGCTTTTTGCTAAATGAAGTCTCTAACTGCAGGGTCAATTGCAACAATTTTGATCAATCCTGATAGTAGACCTGTATCTACTAGGTTTTGAAAGGTTTTTAGATTTGCTGGGCAAGACACTATTTTTAAAGTTTCACATTGGGAAAGAAATACCTTAAACTACTATTGGGATCTATAAGTAGAGCTATGTGGATATTTTTTTAAGAGGTAAACCATTGATAACCAGATACCCCAACTATATTAGAAGGCAAAAAGTGTATGAAAGAGGATAAAAGGGTCTGTTTGCTGCATTTAAACTAAGTAATTAAAACAAGCTGCAGCAGCTTCCCTAATATACTGTAATTTACTTGTGAATCTTCTAACAGAGGTGTCCAACCAGCTATGAATGTGGCCCAACAAAAAATCATAAATTTACTTAAAACATTATGAGATTTTTTTGTGATTACGTAATGCAATGTATTTGATGTGTGGCCCAAGACAACTCTTCTTCTTCCAATGAGTCCCGGGGACACTAAAAGGTTGGACACCCCTGCTAGAACCTAACAAATGACATTTTTTAAAAGCTTTTTGGTCTATGTATCCATGAAGCCAGTAATCCTTAAGGTAACTAGCTCAATTAAACCAAGATATCTGTGTACCCAACAGAGACTCTTGGCATGTTTAAAAAAAAAAAGACTCATTTTAAAACTTTACTTACTACACATTTTTTAATTTGTGGCAGACTTTATCATTAACTCAACTCACCTTGTTTCTGCTTTTAGGAATGTTTTCAGTTTTGGCATAAAAATTTCCTACACAAGAAATTATACTAAAACAATTTTTGTCTGGTGCTATCCTAAAGGGTTTCCACAGGTTTCTACGCAGACATGGCAGCTTATGAAAGCTGAATCTGCGAAGAGAGGTGGAATTCATAACTGAGTGCAGGGTACATTCAGGGTCCCCGAGTCCGCTCCCTCTCTGCCTGCTGCCAAGCCACCAACACCAGTGGCCACTTCACTACCAGTGTAGAGCAGGCTTGGAGCAGCCAGTACCTTCAGTATGAATGTCTCCAAAGAAAGGGTTCAGGCCAAGCAGTGCCATTCATGCTCTCCTTGCAGCTACTCACACAGGAAGTCCTGCTCCATGCAGCCTAACAGCATGGTCCCTGCCAGCCAACTCTAAGCTACCTTCACTGAGGTCTGGGGATCTGCTGCCGGGAGGCAGGGGGGCGGAAAGGGCAGAGAAAGAGCAAGACAGGGAGGAATACATAGATAAAGGATTTTCCTTGGGGAAACTATGCCACCCTGTTAGGTTTTACAAGGTCCCTTGCCTTGGACCTGCTGGCTGTTCTCATGATAATGACAGGTGGCGGTTCCTAAAATCTGGAATCCATTCTTTAAACCAAGAGATTTGAAGATTCATTGCTGCAAACTTACTTGAATATTTTGTCACTACAAAGGATCATCTCATTGCCCTCCTTTCTGTGGCTCCTGCCCCCAGTCTCTAAGCATCTTCTAAACATTTAATCAATGTTGTTATTTGTCGCAGATGATTGTGAGACCAGTAACAAAAAGCTGCTTGGTGCCAATTTTTCAACCAGAGAGACCTGAAAAAAGGTCCTAGAAAGGGCCTTAAGGGCAAATGAAAGACTGGACAGAAAATCAAACAGCAGTGCCTAAACAAAAAGTTCTCCCTGTTGTTGGTCTAATCCCAACTTAAAACAAGGCCTTTGGTGTCACAATGCCATTTTTATCACTTATTGAGTGGCTTCTCTGACCCTTACATTCCTCATCTGCAAAATGGGTAAGATGACTCTATAAGGATGCAATAGGCTGCTCAGTACAGAGCCTGGCATTTCAGGAAGCGCTCAAAATCCAGCCCCTTTTCTTCATGGAGGTTTTCCAGTTAGGAAAGCTGAGGTTCAAGGGGACTGTCTCCTGCCCCTCAAAGCAGTGCAGGTCACAAATGAAGCGGGTCCTAGTCTGGTCAACCGAGAGCTGACGCACCTACTGGACCAGTCCTCACGTGCCAGCAGGCGGCATATTTAGGTGCGAAGAGCACGTGCGCATGCGCAATGAGAAAGTGAGCCTCACCCGGGTAAGCTCAGGCGCCAGGTGGCGGGGAGCGGGAATTCTCCTTAAGGTCCCGCTACACACAGGTGCGGGAGGGGTGTCGCGCTCACCCCTAGCTTCCTCGCCTTCAATGGGCTGGTTTTCCCTCCCTGCATCCTCCCCAGTGCTGCCGGCCGGCTGACTCACCTCCTCCGTTCTTGTAACACAGGTAAGGGAAGCGCCACACATTACCAAGCCCGATAATCTCCCCGGCCACGCTCAGCACGAACTCCACCTTGTTGTTCCAGTGGCCGCGCTCGTGGACTGCCTTGTCGCGCTTGTCGCGGGGGTCGCGCGCGGTCGCCGGGCCCCCGCTGTCCCCCGGCGCCTCAGACTCCCGCGTCTCCTCAGCTGCCTTCCCGTTACCCAGAGGCAGCGCCTTCTCCGTCGTCATGGCCGCGCTGGCTGCCTCGTGCGCCGGGCCGACTCTACGCCGCCGCCCCGGGCGGGCTGGCTTTTCAGGAGGCGAGAGCAGGCGGGAGGAGGAGGCAGTGGGTGGAGCTGAGGGGCCGGCCCGGCCCGGTGCAGAGACGGGACGCGGCAATGCGGCCCGGCCCTCAGGGTGCCCACGCCGCCTCAGCTGGGCTCGGCCCGGGAGCCTGCAAGCACCTCACGCGCGCCGAGAGTGTTGCGCGCGCCGAGCACCTTCCAGCGCCTTGCGCGCACTGAGCACTTCGCGAGCCCTTCTCCTTCGTTGTCCTTCCCGCTGCCCTGTTAGGACAAGAGTGCCCATTCAGGCCTAGGCTGGGTTCCTTCGCCAAGCCTCGAAGGTCCACCATCTCTGTAACCTCCAAACTCCAGGGCCACGGTTGCTCATCTCTGACGAGAGAAGTGGGCTCTAGACCGGAATTCTCTGACTTTAACCTGCATACCAAGCACTGGTCTTGTAAAACTGCAGTACCTGAACTAGAGGGTTAGGCTGGGCTGGCTGGGCTGGAGCTTCTGCACTTCTAACAAGCGCCCAGGCCCTGCGGATGCTACTGGTCAAGGAACCACAGGTGGAGGGAAAAGGAAGTAAATGAACTCTTGGTTTCTTCCCAGTTCTCGGGGACTGTGAGCACCGCCCCCTCGCCCGTCGGCACCCCCCCGCCCCGCCCCCCGCCCAGGGCAGGGACACCTTTCGATCTTGTTCATCCTGGTGCCCACTTCTCTAAACATGTTAGTCAGGACAGCGTGGAAGTTAAGCACTCCTGTCAGGACGCATGCAAATCTACGTAGAATCCCGTGCTCCACCTATCTTGGTTGTGAGCAGTCATCTGACCACTCGGTGCCTCTGTTTTTGATCTGCCTTTCCTATGGAGTGAGAAATGCTTATAACTATTTAGTATTTTGGAAGTGCTCAGTGAACATAGCAATTATTAATACTATCATACAATGTGTAGTCACACACATATGAGTACACTATTTTATGCTGGTCTCCCCACTCAATTGTAATGATATATGGGTGGGGTAAAAGTAGGTTTACAGTTATGAGTACATTAAAAAGAGTTTATTCTTGTATTATTATTTATTAATTATTGCATTATTTCCCATACAAACAACTATAAACATACTTTTGCCCCGCCCTGTACATCATTTTGTTTATTATAATAGCCACAGAGTCTAGAATAAGACCTAGCACATAGTAGGTGCTCAGTAAATATTTGTGAAAGAGAGAAATAGGAAGGAAGGAAGAGAAGGAGGGGAGGAAGGGAGAAAGAAGAAAAGGAAAAGAACGTCAGATCTGCAAGGGGCCACAGAGATAATCAGATCCACCTCCGTCATTTCACAGCCTTTGAGCAGTCCAGCCAAGTGAGCTCTCGCCAAGCCACCCACTGTGCTCTCCATCCATCCCTTGGAGCTCCCTCTGGGACTGCATCATGGAAAGCCTCCCTGTCTTGTAGATTTCAGCCTTTCCTTTCATTCTGGCTTACAACTGCTCAAGTCTCTCCCCACCTCTATACCCCCAGCAAACCCTTCTGCTACCATCTTCCCCTTTCAGGTCTCCTTCCTCCTCTCCCTCTACTATCATATTTCTTGAAAGAGTAAGTTTACATGCTGCCAGCCCTGTCTTCACTTCCCACTCATTCTTCAGCCCACAGCAATCTGGCACCCACCCCCACCACTTCTCTGAAAATGCTGTCTGTGAAGTCCCAGAAGTCTTCTTAATTTGGCAAATCCTATAGTTCCTTGTCCATCCCCATCCTACCTGACCTCTAGGTATTGTAACATTCTGCAGTGTTATTCCCTCCTTTCTTTCTTAAAATTCACACTTGCATGATTTCCTTGACACTGCCTGCCTCAGCTGCAGTTCCTCCTCCTGCTTCTCTGGTCTTCTTCTCTCATAAATTTGTTCTTCCTTATGACTTCAGCCACCCAACTAAGTGCTGGTGGCTCCAAAACCTATATCCCTGTGTGCTGTCCAGCGTGTGTTCAAAAGCAACAATCCTGCAGAGTGTTAGGGTGAGAATAAACTGAATTCAGGTAGTTGTAGGTTCAGATCCAGGCCCTGCCCCTCACAGTGTTAGCTCTCACTTTAAGCCCCTCCTCTTCCAAGTGGGGTGGGTATGAGGGCTGAAAGCCATGGGTGCAGTAGGTGCTCTGTGAACAGTAGCTATTATTTTTATTGTGATGATGGTGATGGTGATGTCATTCCCTTACTTAAAAGCTTCATTGTTCATTCTTTCCCTGCAGGATAAAATCAAATTGCTGACCCTGGCTTTCATAATTATCCCACAGCCTTTCCTTCTATATTAATGCCATTTTTCTCTCATGCTAAAACTCCACATCAGTACTTTCATTTTTTGGGGGGTGATCCTCAATGAGTAATGAAGGAAGGGATCCATCTTTGACCTTGACAGTCCCTGTGCACCGTAGGCACTTTTACCTAAGAGTCTGTTTGTTAAATAAACAATTACATCAAAAGTTAGAGACACATTTCCACCTCTTATTATTGATATATTAGGCTGTCACCCCAAAATCTGTGTAAACCTACTTTGAATCTAATTACATTTCTCCTTGTACTGCTGCTCAGCCTAATGAGCTCCAGGAATTGATTTCCTCTGAGCAATTGTGATTCTGTGAGACCTTCTCGAGAAGTAACATTGAACTAACATAAGAAGACAGAGGCTGGCCATCCTCTGGTGGGGATCTGGGGATCAGTTATGTTGATGAGTAGTTCTATGGCCTTGGGTATATCTCTTAACTTCTGAGCTCTGGTGTCCTCAGTTCATTAAAATTGTCCTGATTATCTTCATATTTTAGGGTGGTCTTAGAGGTGAAGCAAGACTGCATTAGGAGAACATTGTGCATTTACTTGTGTCCCAAACTCACCTTTCAAGTTTTAATATTTTCCTTTCTGAAAGTTAACCAGGTTGATTTCCTCATGTTAGAATTTACTAAGTATTTAAAGTCTATCTCTTTTGAAAGAGCCTTAATCTGTTTCCTCTGTCCTTATCCAGAAGAGCCCACATCTCCCCCATTGCATTGGTGCCTCATCTCTGGACTTCTGCCATTTTATTCTTTCTTTGTTGAGGTACAATGACATGAAGACCACATACTCATGTCCACAGAGTGGATCAAGGGTAATATGGGCCACATCTCATTCCAGAGCTAATCCAGATGTAACACAGGATAGTGGTCAGGGATGCGGGCTCTGCAGTCATATTTCCTGAGTTCAAAGCCCAGCTGTACCACCATGGCAAATTACTCTGATCCTCAGTTTCTGCATCTATAAAATGAGTGTATTACACTCTCAGGTTCCAGGAAGACCATGAATTTGTGGGAAAGAAACACTATTTAACCTAGTAGTTCCAGAAGTTGGAGCCAGCTGCTGGTGTTTCTCCCATACTCCGTGGAGTGTCTTTTCTGTAAAGGACTACTCATCTATGGCTCAAAGAACCCTAGAACTACCCCAACATCTAGAAAAATAAAATCCTTTGTCAGGATAATGATTTTCAAAGAGTAGAATGAAACAGGTACCATGGAAGCATAGATCAGACTTAAGGGCATTACAGAAGGTTGCAGCTCAGACAAATACAGGGGCCTGTCAACTCAAAGATGTTTTAAAGAATCAGAGGAAAAGTTACAGATGAAACAACACTGGTTGTAACCATAGACCACATCTAGAAGGACAGCACCCTATCCTTTCAAGATGTGGTCTCCAGCTGGTACCATGTCTGAAGTTTCAACAGGCCATTCCACAGTTCTGGATGGGCCACCTGAGAAAAATGAAAAGACCAGAAAATCCCATCAAGCAAAATTTCTTCATACCTTGATAATACCAAGACCCTCTGACATTCTAGATGTTACTTTGACTTACCACTTACTTGTTGATTAGGGTGTAGACTAGGTAAAGTTATGGAAGAGTTTTAAAAAATAAGGATACTAATAGTCTCTACCTTTTAATTGTTATACAGAGTAAATGAGTTAGTATTTGTAAAGTTGTAAATCACTTGCATTTGTGCCCAATATAGACATGTTTGTTAAGTAAATATCTAAATAGTCCTCAGAGAACAGAAATGTCATGACTCACTTACTCCTTTCTTGGGCATCCAAAGTATTCAAAGTCTTTCATTTTCTGGAAATGATAATTGCTCATTCATTCATTCACCAAATATTTATGGCCCTTCAATTATCTTCCAGACACTTTATTGATTGTAAGGTACAAAACCATTTATAAGGCTTGTCCCAGTGGTATGCTGGATCTAGCTCATACCACCTCATGAGAGCCAATTATTAAATTTTCAGGGATTTTGTGAGACAAATGTTAGTAGCTTGAAATCTGCTGTGGTTGTATTTACACCACAGGAATCTGCCAGCATTATAAATCACCCCCACACCTGCACCTAGCCAGTGTATAGGCCCACCATTATGGAACAACAGAGGAAGCAGATGCTACGCAAATAATTACAGAAATGAATGGAAGGTTGGAGATTCTGGTACATGCTGCAAAGGAGAGGTCTGTGGTGCTATGAGAGCTTATTACTGAGAGATCTGACCTTGTCAAGGAGACCAGGGAGGGTTCCCTGAGCAAGTGACAGATGAGCTAAAGCCTGAAGGGACAGGTGCAATGAATTGGATGCAGAGGGGGTTGGGGGTCCTGAAAGATGATTACAGAGGCCAAGGCTGAATGCAGAGGATGGAACAAGATGTGCCTGAAGGGCAAACATTTTTTAGCAGTTGGTGACATGAGCATATTTGCATTGCTAAGTTACTACTGTGGTCACAGTGTGAAAAGTAGATTATGGGGCATGGTGGGGATAGTGGAGAGGCTACTGCAGCAGTCCAGGTAAGAAATGATGGTAGCTCAGTCAAGGACGATTGCAGTAGAGAGGGAGAGAGGAAGGTGGAGTAGAGTGATATGGGGATAGGGACAAAACCCATTGGACTTGACCTGGAGGGTGAGAAAGGGAAGGTTTCAAGCATGTCTCCCCA